GAAACCGTAGAGTTCAATTTACTACTAATTAATCTGATAAATTTTATGATTGAAGTCATATAATTGGTTTTTTATAATTATTTTCTTTTATATTTTGGAATAGATACATAATAATATATTATGATCAATGGCAGTGGTGGACCATGATACTTGTAAGATTAACATGACCGAGAGACATCTTTCGGCAAACAAGGTATGGTCCATGGGAGAACATGTCACGGGGGAATAGGCAAGAGGACGCACACAGGGAAGTTTCATATGTCCTCATCTTCATTATTTTCTCCCTTTTTCCCCTGGCTGTCCCATGAGATAGGCATGCCTAGATATTGATATAACTTATAAGTTTATCTTGATTTATTTTTTATTTTTACTATTAATATTTACTTTTATTTTAAAGTAAAAGATGAAAATTTTTTATATTTAAATATTTAGTTTATTAATTTATGTATTATTTTTTATTTAAAAAGTAAATTTAAATCTCTTTTCTTAAATTAAAAAAAATAATAATTAAAACATATTAAAAAGAAGACAGTGGGTCTTCTTGTGATGTTTGGTTGGGTTATAGCATCAAAGGTCCTTCCAGCTTATGCTTCCTTCAATGCTTACTGCTCCCTTGAGGATGAAGCTTGGACTTTTCTTATGCTTGCTCTGTTTTCATGCTGCAAGTTTATTTCTGTTGCCTTCGTTTGTGCTTTTGCGGCTTTTTGGTGGATCCCGTGAGTCTTGTTTCCAAGTTAAGGAAGACTGATGTTGAAAGCCTTTGCAGGCTCACGGTTTGCTGGGTTCACGATGCTTGATGTGGACAACCTTTTAGTTTGCTGTTTTTGATTTGAATAGACGGATATGTTCACGGGCTCTCGTTTGTTATGAGGCTAGAGATGCCCTGTGAATGCTTCTGTGTTTTTGTTTTCACTGTGTTTTGCAGTGGCGCTTTGATCATAGGCGTCTTTTGAAATTGTACAGCACTTACCCAAACCAGAAGTTCTATGCCACTAAAATCTTGCTTTAGACTGTACTGACATTAATCGATGATGGAAGAATAAAAATGCCTTTAAGAAAAAAATATAAATAATTTTTTTCGTTTGTTTTGTTTTGTAAAATATTTAAATAGTTTCTTACTAACATGTTGGTAAGCTTGCTTTCATTTTGTCTAGTTTTGACATAAACCTAACTTTGTATTAATTTTCTGACACATAATAAAAAGAATCCATTTGGTTGAAAAAAAAACAATTACATAATAAATTGGTAATTATAATTAATAAATCAATTCATATTTATAAATAAAACCTTTGAGTTCTATCTACCAATGTAAATGATAAAGAAGTAACCCATTGGATAAATTTTGGTCATGAATAGTTGTAAATCTATCTACCAATGTAAAAACAAACAAAAAAAAACAATAAAATCATTGAAAAAAAAAACCCATTAATCTATGTGCTTTTCATATGGTATTTATTAAAGAAAGAGCCCCTGTCATTGTTACTCTTTAAGAAAGAGAAAAAGGTGCCTCTTTACGTCCTTTGTCATAACTGGCATCTGAAAGCTACGTGTCCCTTCAGCATATAAAATCCCCTAAACTTTCTTTTCCATTTTTTAAAGATGGAATCTCGAAAACTTTAATTTCGGAACCAAAGACACATAATTACTGACTAATTAATTATAAAGTTAACCGCACACTTTATTCTATCCATCATAAGAACATCTAACACATCTGCTAAAGGGAATGGCCAGCCAATTGCTAAATCCACAAGGGGATTAATAAATCTCTAAATTAATTAAAAAAGGTTTAATATTCAAATAAACTCTTAAATTATTTAAATATATTTAAATAAATTTTTATTTTTTTATTACATTTAATTAAGATTTTGTATTTTTATTTTATGTTAAATAAATTTTTATAACTAATGATTGATTAATTATCATTAATAAAAATATATTTATTATTTTGTATTCATATAGCATTAACATGATATTGATATGAAAAGTAAAAAATACTATATGATTATGATATTATGTAAAATTAACATGTCATGTTATCATTAATTATGATATGTTAATATGTCACATTATAATCAATTATAATATTTTAACATATCACATCATTATCACACAATATAAAATAATAAATAACATTTTGATTAAATTACTTATTAGTTATAAGAGTTTATTTGAAATAAAATAAAAAATAAAAATATTTATTAAATTTAAAATAAAAATATAAAAATTTAATTAAACGTATACAAACTTGATTGAATTTTTTTGAATACTTTAAAAGTTTTTTTTGTATATTATGCTATTAAAGAATGTCTATGAATTGGGTCATGATATCTTTATCCTCTTTGATTCATATTCTGAATAAAGATGATCTCATTTTTAAGAAAGGAAGTAAGGAGGCGTGGACGATAACATTGCTTTTCTTTCTCTCAATTTATCTATCTGATAGTGTTTTTTCTCTGTATCTTGATGTAACAATTTTATATATTTATAAATTTTTATTTTATAATAGAAATATCCAACAAATTTCATTTTTTTCTCAAAAAAATTTCCTGTCATATCTCATAAAAAATAGAATTGAACATCAAATCCATGAATACTAGAATTCATTAACGAGGAAATTAATAATAAATGAATAATTAATTTTTAATAGAAACATGTATAATTTGTTTAAATTATTTAAAATTTTAATCTTGTAATTATTTAAACAAGGTTTATCGATATATTAATTTAAAATTTTATTTATTTTAATGAAAAAAATCTTACCTAAACCTTGTTCATATTCATCACTTAATTATATATAAAACGAACAACGTAACGAAAAGACGAGTGATAACACTAATTGATGTTCCCTAAGACCGAGAAGCATCTCGTTGACTCCTTTTATTCTCCCCAAACGAGAAAAGAAGAAGATTAGAACAAGAAAAGAAAAAGTTATACACTCCTACTAACCTAATAATATGTTAAAAAAATAAAAGAAAAAGAAAAAAAATATTAAAGTCATGGCTGACCACCTGCCTGCACTGCAAATATTATATGGATTATTCAATGAGAGACTTTAGTATCTGTCGGTTTGCCACCAATTATTTCAGCTTCAGAAGAGAGAACTTCCATCCAACTGGAGATATTATTGCTTTCTCATACTGCTGCGGGATTGCATGTGCTGCTTGGTATTATTTTTTTTCAATCTTATTTAATGTGCCAAAAAGCAGATAAAGTTTGCAAAAATTTGTGTATAATTCGATAAATGTGAGGAATTGATTTTTTTTATTCGGATATATAATAAATAAATTGTATAATTGCCTCATAAAATGATGGGATGAGAGCCAGTTGTCCTGAACTAGGCAAGGTGGTGTATGCAGCTGCAGTTTTTCTCTCCTCTGGGCAATGTATCTAAGACTAAATATTATCTTTCATTTAAATAATGGCTGCATGTATACTTTAGATCATGCCAGGCTTTGTACTCTAAATTATGCCAATATATATGGTTGGCTTGGAATTCCTGGCAAAAAAAAGAGTGGGGTTTGGCATATTGATAGGTTATTAATTAGTTTGGATGGAAAATATTATGAGAAATTAGAATATGACCCATGTGTTGCACATGGGCCTCTTTACACCTCTCTTTCACTTTCTTTGCTTTGACATTTTTTTTCTTTCTCTTATAAAATAGAAGAAGTAGAATTATCAGAGAAGTTGTGAATATCTCCTTATGTCTCGTTCTTTAAGATTGAGCTTTTGTTATTGTTGTTGTGTTTTATAAAAATTTTACTTGAAAGAGAAAAACTAAGTGCAGCTCTATTTGTTTTTGCTCTAATTTTTTTTTCTATGTTAGAAAAGACTTAAAAAAAAAAGAACAAAGTCCAACCCTTTTGTGAGTACTTGTTGTAAATTCATTTTCTTCTTCTGTTTTTTCTTCAGATTTGTTACCAATTCTTTTTTTCTTTGTTTCAGAGTCTACTATTGTGCTTTGATAGAATTGTTAAGCAATATTTTTTATTTTTTAATTTTACTTTCATGCCTGGGCAATTTAAGAATTTTTTTGGAAACTTGTTACAGCTCTAAAACCCCTTCTTGAAGCCACTCTATTAGAGCTTTAAAATCCCCTCATTAAAACCTTACACATGGCAAAATGAGAAAACCCCAAAATTAATAATGTTATAAATTGTTGTGAAAAATGTGATTTAGATTTTTGATTATTTGACATTGTTATAAAAAATATGGTGAAGAGTTCAACTATTTGAAAATGATTAAATGTTTAACATTGCTAAAATGTATCAAAAATAAATTATCGCAAAGTTTAATTTTAAATATATGTAAAAAACTAATTTTTAGATTTTCTAAAAAATTAATGTTACTTCAAACTAGAAATTAAATAGTTATATTCTCACTATATTTTTATTTTTGAAACATATTAAATTTTTATTTAAAATGCAAAATATTTGAATAATTGATTGTTACTCAAAATAGTTTTTGCAAATGACTCGAAAAATACAATAAAAAAACATTTTTCGAATCAAATCAATAAGCATTTGACATTGCGTTTGAATTGAAAACATATTTTGACACGGCAAACGTAATGCCAAATTAATAGCTTGTAACAGGGTTTAGTAATTAATGATTGATAGTCTATATATTTATATGATTTTATACAATTGTATTGGTCAAATCATACAATTTGTACCATATATTTCGAGTGTTATCATTTTCTTCTTTAAATTTCAAAATTTTAAGTTAAATATTCTTTTTTGATATTTCATTATTTTTTCATATATATATATATATACATGGTATTAATTAATACCACATGCTAAGCATTAATTTAATTATTATTAGTGCAAATTTCAACTTCCAAAGTATCATGTCTTTTATCATATTTTATGTAACACTTTTCTGCCACAACAAGGCCTATGTGGCTTGGATGGAATAATGGCCAGCAGTTTCTGATGGTGTGTATCTATCAGAAGTAATTAACTAATTAAGCAAAAAATTAATTATTTACAAACAAGTAATCAAGAAAAGGTCCAGGATTTTATTGAGTTGGAATCATGATTTACAGTGAAAATATTCCCACAAATTACACTCAGCAACAATGTACAGCTGCAGTTTGTAAAGCCATACTCATAAATTAACACGAACAGTACATTTTTTGTGGCCAAACCTTAATTCACATCTTAATTTAAGATGCCACAAAAATAAACAAATCTTCAACAACAACAAAAAAAAAGGGTTCTTCAATTAATTCACCACAGCACAATGTTTCCTGATTTCACCTTGGTGGCCAGTGAGGACTCCAACTCTACCCATCTTCACCATTGACTCAGCAAAATCTTTGCCGAAGGTAGCTCCGTGGGTAGAAGACTGAAGGATAACATAAGCTTTAGTCTCTTCATCATTGAGAAGGGCAGCATCAGATTGGAAGAGCCCTCTTCTTTTATCCACGAGAGTGAAGTAATCTTCGTCGAAGGTCTTGAAGCTTCCAGGGTCCATCTCCACCAGCGTAGTTGTGTCTGCTGGCTTACATTTTTGCTTCAATTTCACAATGTAGTTTGGATCCATTGATGGGTCTGTGTCGCCTTTGCCAGTGAAATTGTAGAGACGGTTGGTGAATGCGTTGCAATGAGATGTGCCAATGGTGTGTCCTCCTGTATAATTTGAAACAGCTCAAATTAAAGTATTTTTTAGATAGACGAGTAATATAGATCAAATTTGTCACCATATTATGACTCAATACTGAATCTTATTATCGTGTTTTAAATTTATTAAATTTTTTATCTAAAAATCAGCAAAATTGAAATTATAATGACAAAATTAAACATAGGGACAGATTTAGTCTTAGTCCCGATAGAAAAGAAAAAACCAAAATGAAAAATACCTGATAGAACGGCCAGATCTTTTAGGCTTAAACCCTTAACAGCAAACATTTGTTTAAGTGTAGTTATGTTGGCAAAAGGAGAAGGCAAGTTTGCGAAGGCCTCACTCAAGAGTGAAACTCTTCCATCTCTTCGTCCAAGGGGAACTTCCCAGAAGGGTCCATATATCTGAAAAGAAATTTAAAGCAAATGAGATAACATATTGTTTTGGTTTGATATACAATTTAGAGAAAGGGAAAGACCAATGAGAGGTATAATTAGTTACCATGGAAACTGAATCTCGAGCTACTAAGGCAACGATATCTGCACAGGAAACCACACCAGGGCATGCTTCTTCGACTGCGGATTTTACAGCATCAATCACATGGAAGCCTCGCAAACTTAGGTTGGGAATTGCAGCTTTCTCTGATTGGCTGTTCTTTGTGGAATTTAGAAGCACTGAACCATCACATCCCTGAGAATTAGATAGAAAAACAATCAACTTGTTAAATGCTATAGTTGATTTTGATAGACATATACAGAAGTTTACCATTGAAATAAAGCGCTTAATTTGCTCTATAATCATAGATAATTGTACGTATTACATCTAAACATTTGATTTAATGATAAATGTATGTATTCTTTATTTAAAAAGTTGATTTCGAATCTTTTTCATTAATAAAAAATATGATGCAAAAAGGTTTAACAACTTACTCTAACAAAGCAGTCATGGAAATGCATCCTAAGCAAAGGAGCTGCAAGAGTTGGAGCTCGAGAAATGAATCGGTAAGTTGTCTTCCTGATAATAGACTCTGCTTTAGGGCAGGTCTTGTAGTAATACCCGAGTTTCAAGCCCTCTGCATTGCTGAGGTCTGAGACCAGAAGAACAAGAATCAGCTGCAAAAGGAGAAAGGAGAGAAGCTTTTGGCCTGTAGCCATTTTGTCCTGAGGAGATTAATGAGACTTGATTTGTCTGAGCAATGAGGTGTATGCAAACAAAAATGTGGGTTATATTTATAGTTAAGCTAGCTTAGTCCCTTTGAACATGTCAGGGTGCAAAACTGTCACTAGATTAGTTTATGATTGATTTGATAAGGTCAATAACCAAAGAGCTGGCTTCCAAAATATAAACAGAAGGAAATTTAAACGCATATTGCAACTTGTATATAAGTTCATTTTTTCTCTTCTTTTTTTAGAAAAAAAAATCAATGCACAATAGTGTTGACAAACAAGATATTAATTATCTAATTTAATTAAAAAAAAGAAAAATTGGCTAGGCAATGAAGCAAATACATATTCTGCTTTTGATTAGTACACGCAAAGAGTCTATTATTTATATATGTCGAATACCATTCATCTTGTTCCAATTCCATCCTCGAGATTGCATATGGAAATGTACTGAAACTCACCATTAATCTTGTGATTAGTTCTTAGCAAATTAAATTTTAAACATTGTTATTAATAAATATATCTACAAGGCTCCAAAATGTATGTATAGCGAATTATTTACAAAATATATATACATATTGACTTGGAAAAGTTAACAATAATTCATTGTAAAAGTTCAAAATGTAGGATGTACTTATTCATTCATTTTCGTGCATAATTAATATTTTCATACATGTACTTATATAACATATAAATTAAAGGATATATAATACATTATATATGCATGTTTAAGTTGATAATTTTGATGCCGATGACCTAGACAATAAATTTAACACTATATGATAAACACAATAAATTTGAAAAATATTCAAGCCATTGAATTGTATGCACTAGACTAACTTATTAACATTTTCCACTTACTATGGATTTTTTGCACAACATTAAATTTTATTTAATTATTCTTCTTCTTTTGGCTAAAATTAGGATAGAATTATCATTTATGAAAAATTGTGAAAATTTATTAGTAAAATATTGGTGCATACAATACAAAATGTATATATATATATATATATATATATTATTTATTTATTTTTTATTTACAGTTAATGACGTTTAGGGAAGAGAGAGGAAAAGATATATATACGATTGCGGTACGTTAAACAGCTTGCCTATCAATCTCAATTATCAAATATCAACCCTAAGCTGTAAGACTAGATATTGGTTGACCTTTTTACAAGTACCATGCATGCCTAAGCATATGTTAGCTCAAGGAATCTTATAATTATCAATCACTTGTTGATATATAAATTATATAATTAATTGTCCCAACTTGATTTTAACATCCTGTGATTGGTGGTCAATGCAATTGATTGACACCTCAACCAACAGAGATATTGTCATATGACCTAATATCCGAAGGAAATGACAAGATTTACTGGCCCACATGTCACAAAATGTTGATGGTGAATTGGTAACTGATTAAGGAAATATATAATATTAAGCATTAACTTTCATATACCTAATTTTTTTTTCAATTTAATATTCCATCCCCTCATTCATGGCCTGTTTTCATGCTTTGGCCTTGTATATGTTAATTTAGTCTGTGAAGAAATTAAATAATTGGCAACAATTAATCATGATCAAAGCTTAATTATTTGTTAATTTATCATTCTTCGGCATGTCACACGCTGAAAACTCTTCTGTCATTTTTTCACCCATCTCTAATACTGAAATCTGAAGCAAATCTCGAAATCTTTTAATAAAGAAATTAAAGGATGGACCGTCAGATTAAAAAGATTAATACTCATAGATTACAATATTAATTATGGTTTAAGCTCAACTTTAGAGTGTGCCAGCTTCACGCATAAGTTGAAAATTGAGGAATCATGTCAGCACATTGTCATTTAAAAATGAAGCAACTAGTACAAGCCGTATACCCTGTGTTTCTTGGCATATTGTACACTTTCTAGACCAAAATATTCTGTATTTTATCCGTGGAAATAGTGTTTAATAATTGTCATTACTGAAAATGATTATGATTAATATATACAAAAAGGAATCATGACTTTGCTTGCCGCCAAAGCAAATAACATTAATTGACAAAGCTTAATTAAGCATTTTCGTGTACATAATTTTTATAACCTTGCTGAAGCCAAGCTCCAAATTCTTCCAACAATTTTGACCATACCGGTCCCCTTCTAATCCATCTCATATAGCCGAGTTCATCACCGTTGTTCACATGCACAGATTTTCCATCCCAACGGCTAGACCATGAAAAGTTTAGGGTTTGGTGCACATATAGTTTAGTCTATCAAACAGCTGTTAATAGGTCGTTGCCGAGTGACTATTAGAATAATCGCCGGCTGCTTTTTGTACTATTATTTGTTGGTTTTGAGCAAGTTCCATGCATTTCTATGGGAAGAGACTATTTGCCAGGCCGGCCTGTTGGCAGCCATGGCTTAGCCGGGTAACGGCTAGGAAACTTCATCAGTATATGTAAACAGAGACCATTTCTATATTTCATCATATATAACTATATAAAATTTCAATTGTGCTTAGGCAGCAATCGCATTCACTCACCAAGAAAAACATTTAATTTCCTTTCTAATTGATGTGAAAATTAGTTAATAGTATGCTACAAATTGGTAGCTGCAGGATGCAAAAATCAACATCTGGCAATGTATCTGAACCTACTTAAGAAGCCTGATTTGGCATCTAATCCTTTTCATTGTCTATTTTTATAAGCAAAAGTTCCATTAGGAAGTGAAAATTCCTCTTCTCTTTTAGAGAAACGAGTAGTGTTCTTTACTAAATAAATAGAAAAGGAGCTTCTATATGTATACCAAAAGAATTTAAAAAAATAAGAGGACGAATTACAGTGAAATTAATTGCAATAGTTGCAGTTTTTTAGGCTTTTTATATGAATTATGCATTTAGTAGTACAAAGTGCTAAGCATCAGCTGACCAAAATCACATGATCGACCGGTTTTGATTGATATTTAATCAATTATTTGATGTTGGTTGAGGACAACGATTATTTCAGTTATTCTATTTGATTTTTTCTGAAAACCCTTTTCTTGAAATTGACCGAATAATTAATTACTTTTTTAATTATATTTATATGAAGAATTACACATTTACCCCTCATTAATTCCCCCTTTACCTATGCTGCTTGCAACCTTCCCTTCGGAGCAAACCCTAAATCCCAAAGTTGTCAACCCTCCTTCCCCCTTCTTACATCGTAGCCACACCTTGTCTAGCCTGAGTCACCTTGCCCTGTCGTAGATTTTAGCCCTACTTGCGGAGTTAAAAACCGCCCATCTGACCTCATACCTAACCCACCGTGTTCAGTCATGCATAATTTGGTTGGTTCCTTCATAACTTCGGTCTGTGGCGATCGGTTCCAGCACCTTGATCAGCTTGATCGATTATGGCCTCTTCCACTATTGAAACCGATTTCTCCAACAGATGCTGCTATAGTACAAGAGCATTAAAGACCCACTATCACAATACTACCCTATTCCATACAAATGGAACTATGAAGCTCAAAATAAGGATTTCTAATTTTGAGAAAGAAAAAAATTCAACAATCTATGTAATCTTGGCATAACCATTATTATTAGTACTTCTAGTTAGACGTTTAAAAATTTTCCCAATCTTCTCTCACCTTATCATATGTAATACAACAACAACAATAATATATCCATCACTCAAAAGAATGCTTATTATAATGTTAATATTTAGAAGTTTCAACTTAAAAGTTTTTTCTTATAATCGAGAATGGGAGATAAAGTTAGCATATTGTACATAAGGCTCTTTTGTATATGATAATGATAGCATAAAACTTAATAAATGTTAATATATACAAAAAAAAACTACCCATTTTATATATTGCTATTAAAAATTAAACTTAGATACTGAAAATAAAAATATATTAATAATACATGTGTATCAATATCATTGATAAATACCTTGAGATACTAAGAACATAAATATATCTTATATAAAAAAAAATCAACATCATTAAATAAATATTTAATTTGCACAAGCATTTGGTTTATTGGTTGGTGCATTATCTCTCTGCTTAAAGAGTAAGGTTCGAATCCCCTCATCCAATTATTAAAAAAAAAAAATCAAGTTTATGGTTGTCACTCTTTAAACAAGTGAATAAATGTACCCACACATGTTGATGCATGGTTCCCAAAGTAGTCTATTTACTTAAAATCAGTAACAAATTCAAGATTTTGCATGAGGGGTGATTAAAGGATAATAATAAAAGTAATCATACTATATATATATATATATATATATATATATATATATCAAATTTTATACATATAATAAAAAAATTAAAAATTAAAAAGTGACGGTTGTCACCACTCACCACCACTTAACTCCGTCAATGTTCAAAATGATGTTAGATAACGCAAAATGCTAATAGCATAACCTGACTAATCGTGGTAAAATGAAATAATGTAGGCTTTACTTAACATTATTGCACATCTTTAACAGGATTGAGGTCTAGCATTCCAATCTCGCCTCTCTTAATACTTCCTCAAATATATATGCACGATTTTTTTTTTAAGAAAAGAAAACCGTGATAAAATGGCATTGCCAATAAAACAAAGGTGAGAGTACTTGCTCCTTGGAATATACAGCGAATTATAAGCTGTTGATTCTCTACAGAGTGTAGAGAAGCAGTCACTTGCAAAGAAGAAGCCTTTGAACTTTCGAATGGCCATCCTCTCTCCTGACAGAAATGAGAACAAGACACAAGAATTGGAATGTTGATGGGAAACCCATCTTGTTATTTATAGTCGAGAAAGCCTTTGGAGCATCATCATTGAATCAATCGGAATTCCAATATTTCTTTAATTAGATGCGTGGTGTAAGGTAATGGGTGGACTTTTGTATTGAATTTTGATACGCATGTCGGTCCAATTATCATTTTCCCCTATAACTGCAACACAATTTTGAAGAATAATGCTGTCCCGATCATGGAAAACTAGGCTCTACTTACCACTGGGGATGTGATTTAATTAATTAATTAATGGTAGTTATAGCGAATCAATCCTAAAATTTAATTTCCATGATTCTGATCATTATAATATTGTTTCCACTCTTCCAAGTTATTTTAATTGGGCTTCCCTCCAACAAAGTAACATGTATTTCTATTGCTTGTTGCTTTTTTATTCTTGATTTTTTTTGGTACATTGAATCCGGGGTACTTCCTTTGTTTAATTAGCTTTTGTTATTCTTGTTCTTTCAATATGTGAAATTTTATCCATTTACTTGAAAATTTTTCTTTACCAGTTGCTTAACAATTTGTGTTCACATGTCTTGATTTTGTTATGTAAATATAAAGTATTAATAATATCAAGGACGGTTCAATAACGTTAAATGCTTAAAGTAAAGTATTTAAATGAGACTTTTTTTATTGAAATTAAGAAATTTTTTTAAGCTTTAAATAATCAAATTCATATTTTTGATTTAACATATTCAAATATTTATTAAGAAGTACTAAAAATATTTAACTATTAAAATTATTTTATAGTTTTTAAATGCTTAATATAAAATCTAGCAACCAAAATTTCTAATTCAAATAGATTAACCATCACATAAAATAAAGATAATATAACAATATAATATAAATTCTAAATTAAAGTAAAAAAGTTTACAAATATTAGAATAATAATATCTAATTTTTAAATGCTTATCGTAAATTGTAAATGAGGCTTACAGTTTTATAAAGATCATAGCATAATAGACTTTTTGGGTATTCTCAAAAAGAAAATTAAAGTTAAAAAAAGAAAAAAAAAGCAAATGAGGGAAGAAGAATTTAACCATGGATATTATAAATTGAAAAAAAAAAGATAATTGGTTTTCTATATAGGAAATAAAATAGCTGTTAAAAATCATTAAATGCATTTTATCATTAGTTGATTAAAAATAGAAGAAATAGGTCAGAAAAAATAGTTATTCGAGATTATTAAATACATATTACTATTAATTGATTGAAAATAAAAAAAATAGTTGAGAATTAATAGGATTGTCGAAATTGAGAAGAGATAAAAAATTGAGATTTATTAGACACAAAATTAGAAAAGGGAGATAATATGCCATTTTATTAATTATTTTTGACTTTTACATATTTTTAATAGAAAATGAGATAATTAGTTCAAAATTAATAAGAATGTGGAAGTGAGAGAAAATAAATATTTATTAAACATGAGAGAATAGATAAATATTTTAGTAATTCTCTTAATTTTTATATATTTTTAATATAATTAATTATATTATTATAATAAAAATATGGGGCCTCTCTAAATTTAGGACCTAAAGCCTTTGTTTGGATGGCCTTACCCAAAAGTCAGCCTTGAATAATAATATATAGATAAATATGAACACAACACGATAAATTAAATTTGTTAAGATTTTAAATATATACACGGATATATTAAAACGTAATATAAAATACGATTAACATGTTTAATTTTATATGAGACAATACAATTGATAACTTATCTAAGCATGATTATCATGATTAAATTTATATTAAACAAATTTATGAACAAATTATATACGTTAATTGTACGAGTTGACACGATAACTGGACTAACTAAACAAGTTACATGAGTCTTGGATGAATTAATTTGATCTATTTAAGACATGTAAATTTTGTACCTTAAACCTAACAATAGATTATCAATCTTGGGCTATGTTAAAAGATCGTGTCTAAATTACCAAGTCTAACAGTAACGTGCGTTTGTAAACTACAACGGATTTGTGTCTTATGCCACAGAAATTATATCAAGTTAATGATTTCTTAATTTGTAATTCAATGGACACTTGTCAATTATCTAGGCTTGCCAGGGTTTATTCTTGTTGGTGTATAATTTTCTTTCTCTTCACACTCGTGCTTCAAACCACTTACAAAACGCAATTGGAGTGAATTCAATCAACAGAAAAAGTTGCAGAACAGTTATGTTACTTGGCATGATTTCTCATTCATCTAGCGTGACTCATCACTCATGAATATCCAGGATGTAATTTGCATGCATTTTCTTCACTGATTTCAATATAGGAAAACTCTATAAAGTTTGTGCATTGATTGGAAGTGATCATCGGCCTTGCGCAAAAGTGTGTTGCAAGTGGCAGAAATGAGGGTTATCATTGTTGCCTGCGGACGTGAATTTGCCATGGAAGTTGGTTTCCAGGAACCTGTTTTAGCAATCAAAAGACAGGTAGAGCAGCTTCTGGGAATCCCAGTAGGAAGACAAACTCTTTCCGTATCTGATTGGGAGCTAGTTGATGGACTAGACATGGAAGATTACCCGATTGTTACTCACGGCACAAAAATTGACCTCACCCTCAAACCCCTTTCACCTTCACTTAACCATCGCACCAAAATCCAAATCACTGTAAAATTTTCATCCAGACAGATGAACGTTGAAGTTGACAGAACAGAAACCGTGCGTAGCCTAAAAGAGAAAATCCACATAGTTGATGCCACACCAATTACAAGAATGTTACTCTTCTTTTCAGGAGTAGAGTTGGCAGACGATTTTCGCAATCTGAGTGAGTATGGTATATCTGAGTTTTCAGAAATCAGTGTTGTCCTGAGAAGTACGAATCGTTTAAAGGAAGACCCTCCAACGAGGGAGCTGAATATAGTGGTGCAAATGTCTTCAAGCTTGCTAAATGCAGCTACCATCCCACTGGAAATGAAGGACTCCAGCAGTGTTAATGATTTGAGACAGTTACTGCTTAGCAGAAGAATTCTTCCCCGAGATGATTATCTGTTCATACACAAGCAGCGGATCATGCGTGACAATTGTAGCCTCAGGTGGCATGGTGTTGAAAATGGGGATTGCCTTTATGTATTTAGAGGCACTGTTAGTCGTGATGGATATTGAGATATAAAGTCTACATTGTCAACTATAAATTAGGAAATCTAATTTGAACTTAAATAAAGTGATCATTCTCTTAAGTTGCTTTAATTTTAGAGGAAAAGAATTCTAGAATACTGATAACCAAAGCTCACTTGTTAGTTAGCCATGGTGATTAACAAGAAGGTTATGATAACCAAAGCTCACTTGTTAGGTGGTAAGCAATAAGCATTTAACACTCTAAATATTAACAAGAAGCATTATGAAGTAATAAGCATTTAACAAGCATTATGATAACCAAAGCTCACTTAAAATTGAACTTCCGTTGCTGGGGATTGAAGTCGTCTCTCCTTGGTGAAAGCCAGACATCCTAGCCACCGGACGACAGCGAATATAGTGTCCGGAGAGCTATAGAGAAACTAACTAAAAATTAAAGAGAGAGTGAAAGTCCATGCTTGTTATGGAGATATACTACACAAGTTTTATCATAAGTTTTTTACCAATATTTTAACGGCTCAACATTCCCTTTTTTCTTATCTAGGTGGTGTGATAATTTATTGGCAGCAATAATAAGTTCCTTTTTTTTCTAGGAGTGAAACTTCCTTATATATTAGCCATAGTTGATAGAGATTCAAGGTTTGGTCATTTCATGATTGTTCATCTCTCTCTCACTCTGTAAAGTATTGAGAAAACTACCTATAAGAATCCAGTTTTCTCTTACAAAGCAGACAAAAAAAAAAAAAACCAATGGTGAAGACCATCAAACCCGTATATTTTTAAGAGCCTAAGTTTGAAGCTTTTGAGAGAAACCAAAGATTTCTCCCCCTAAACACCAAAGATGAGAATTTTATTATAGTTACAATTCCTATATCAAGAATCCTATTATTTTTTTCCTTGTACAAATATGTAAAAAATATATTAAATATTTAATTTATTAATTGATATATGATTTTACTATTTAAAAAATAAAATTCAAATTCTCGTTCTCTCAAGTTCAATATATATATATGGAAGACATGAAGAAAACCTCTTATTCAAATTAAACAAATCCATTTTGTACTTAACAATCCAACATTATTCCCTTCAATACAAGATCCTGGTATATTGCGTATGTGGATGTCTTCCTACATATGTTGATAAGAAATTCCAAAGGATTAATGGATAGATTATCTAAAATTTTAAACCGGGTATGTACAATCTTGTAATTGAATCATATAAATAGTTGTTATAACTATTTCTTAAAAATGTATTTTGTTTTTAACTAAAAAAATATGTTTTTTGTTTTGCTCCATATAAACAACGTAAAAGAAAATAAAATAAATAATATTTAAAAATTTTTAAATTGTTGAATAAATTGAAATAAAATTTTTACTTTTTTATTATATTTAATTAAATTTACATACTTTTATTTAATTAAATACATTTTTATGATTAACAATAATTATTTTTTTTAGTTAAAACATCGATCATGACATATAACATAAAATAACTGTAAAAATATTTTAATGAATAACAATTAGTGTTATTGAATGTGATTAAAAAATAATAATTATTTTTTTTGAAGAAAAAAGCCGATGAAAATTCCAAAATGGGCCAAGCGGACAGCCCAATAAACAGCTAAACAAAGGTAACCGAAGTCGTACAAAGAAAATTAAGCGATAACGCTTTTGAAATTTTGTTGTATTTAACGTTGAATTCTTAAATTCTTAAAAGCCGGCTGCAAAAAAGCTCCACATTTTTTAACAGAAAAAATTAGAAGGAAAGACATCTCTTTCATACCATAACGAAAATTTCTTTCCTTGCCTTTTTTATTCCTCTGAACTCTGGAGTTTCAATTGATCAAAGCATCCCTTTGAGTCGTAAACATGAACGACTTACTCACGGTAATTATCAGTCACCTTGCTTGTTCTCATCAGTAGTAGTTTGCTTTCTTAATTTAATTAGGATCATGAACTTCTTGGGTTTTATTTTTTTTGCTTGATCAATCGAGTTTGTTTTTTTTTATGACATTTAATGCTTAATTGAGTGTGTATTTTTGGGTTTCTGTGTTTATTTGAAACTGGGTTGGTTAGTGTTTTCTAGTTTTGAGGACTATCATGGCTATGTTAATTTTTAATTTTTTAATATGAAAGTTTCTTCTTTTTTTTTTTTACGTTATGTTGACTTTTATTTCAATTAAGTGATATAGCATCACACCAAGTTGATTCCTTTTTAAGGATTTGCTTCTTTCTCTTTGTTTGGTTACTGGGAATTTACTTGGAAATGTTTTTGTGTTTGGTTGATTCTAAGTTCAATAGTTGGAACCAAGATTTCTACCATTCTTAAGTTTTGAATTATCTTTCCACTATCGATAAAGGTTCTAATTTTAACATGGACTGAATTGGGTTGAAGTGATATTTTGGTTTTGTTTGCTTGTTCTGCTAGTTCTTTTTCACTTTGATTATTGAATTGTGATAGCTTTATTAGGCTTTGTTTTCATGTTTGAATTCATGATTTTTATTATGTTTTGGATCAGGATTCATTTGTTGGTGATGGCCAAGGCCATGGGGATATTGAAATGGGAAGACAGGTTCCCGGAAGTAACTCCGACATGGGAATGGAAGCTTTCAATAAGCAGGTCTGCCATATGGTTACAAAAGCAAAACAAATTAGCTGCTATCTTAGGTTATTGTGATGGCTAATTGACTATTTGGAACCTTATGTTTAAAGCTTGCAATTTATTATCAGTTAATTTATTGAAATTTCAATTTTTTTTTCCAAGGAGTTGAATCCAAGAGTAGACATCTGCCAATATAGCAAGACTTTCGAAATTCTTTTACTTATATTATCTTTGCTTATATTGTTGGTCTTTTTATAACATTTATTTTCTTTTTAAGTGAAATTCATCTAATTGCTTCATGCTCTTATTTTTTGTAATATAGATACAAGAGGTTGAGAAACAGGTGGAGAAGCTCTCTGTGTTACTTAGGAAACTCAAGGTATGTAGGATGTTCACCTGAGATTATTTTACCATTGACAGTTGTGCCCAGATATTTTTGTGCTATGCTTTTGTATATCAAAATCTTGGTCTCCTATAATCAGTTACATGTACTCTGCAATCTTATCCTGTCTTTATGAAATTTTACATTATTTTCTTCTTTAATATAGATGTGGTGTCTGGCTGGCAAGATTCTATAGTCAAAATATTAATTTATAGGTTTGGTCCAGTTTTAAATGTATCACCTTTTATTAAGATACTAGAGAATTTTATCTTCATTATCATTAAGGATCATCTGTGCTATATTGTTTAGCCAGACCTGGTTTGCAATGTTCTGAAATTCATTATCAAGAATTGCTCTGCTAATTTTGGACATCATTTCCTGCTTCTTAGTTCTCCTGCACTGTGTAAATCTCCTCAAGAGTAATGTTTAACTTATTAATTTGCTGTTTATCATTGCAATTTACGTACGTCTACGCGAACTTTGCACAGGATGCTAATGAGGAGTCAAAGTCTGTTACAAAGGCATCTGCAATGAAAGGTAGAAAGCTGTGTCCTTCCCCATACTACTCTTGCAAATCAAATGTCAGCATTGTACGTTAATAATATATATGGTGTAACACAGTTGCTGATCTGACTATAAACTATCATCCAACTTAGTGTTACACTGTTAGTAGCTGAGCAAGTTGAGAAAAAATGGATATAAGTTCTTGGCAGCAACAATTATGAGAAAAAGTTTAATATGGGGAGCCTTTTTTGTGTGGGTATTCATTACCAATTCCTGAAGATGCTCTTTAAGTTTCGATTTTATTTTGGTTCCATATTGTCTAAATTTTATGTAATTTACTGAAGCTATCAAGAAGCGAATGGAGAAAGATATTGATGAGGTTGGAAAGATAGCGCGTAATGTCAAAGCAAGATTAGAAGCTATCAACAAAGATGTAACTCTTTATTCATTTTTCTCTTTAGATGTCTTAATTTTCTGGCTTTACAGCTATACAATTGAAGACTATGTACTGATTTTCTCCCTTTACCTCCAGAACTTAGCCAATCGGCAGAAACCTGGATGTGAGAAGGGAACAAGCATTGACAGATCCAGGATGAATGTTACAACGTATGCATAAAATGCTTAGTTTTAGGTCCTTTTTATTTATTTATTTTTAAAAAAAGGAAAACATGTTGATTATAGTTTTTGATCATTATTTTTATTTTTCCAATCACAGTGCTCTGGCAAAAAAATTCAAGGATTTGATGATAGAGTTTCAGGTATATCTACACATCATGGTTGACAGCTTTCTAGATATTATCTGTTTTCTCATCTTAATATTCTCTTTCAGACTCTCAGACAAAAGATCCAGGATGAGTATCGGGAGGTTGTGGAAAGAAGGGTCATTACAGGTTAGAATATGGGGCTTACGAATTACCAGTACTGCAAAAGTAATCTGATTTTCTTTCCTGGATTAATAATCTTGTTATTATTCATTGCACCTTATGCTTTTTTTTTCATTGCTGTTTGAGCAGTCACTGGAACCAGGCCAGATGAACAGGTGAGCCTAAGCTTGGTGTTGGAACTTTGGCTCTAATTCACATGGATGTTGTTATAATCAGCCAAAATTTATTCTTCTCTTAGACAATTGACCGCCTCATCGAAACTGGAAACAGTGAGCAAATCTTCCAAAAGGCAATTCAAGAACAGGGACGAGGACAGGTAGGGCCCTCTTATGTTTAACACTAATTCACCTTGAAGATTCACAATTGATTGTTTGTTGAAAGTTCAGCAAACGACAACTGAGTCTTGAATCTGTGTGGTTATCGTGTTTGTGCCGTTATCATATTTGTTCTGAGTTGCATGTTTTGAATTGATTACAGAAGTTTGTAAAATTGTTAGATCCTGAAATGGGTTGAACTAATTTCTGTCCCAAACAACAGAGAAGTGTTTTCTGTTTTTAAGCTAAGAGTTAATGACATACATTAATTTCGACAGTGATCAATGTATTGGGCATAGATTGAGTGATATGGATTGTGGTGCAACATCAGTTTCAATTCTCTGATCATCGACATTGAAGGAACTTTATATTTCTGGGAAGCACTTGCATTGATATTCAGACTCTGTAATGTGAGAAAGTTCTTGTATTGTCATTAGGTGTGGGTAATTTAGGTTATTATTCTTTTCACTGAATTTTCAGTGAGAATCTAAATAGCTAATCATGTCTAAGTCTGTTTATATGTACTGATGCATAGTTCTAAAGTCATTCTAATTTGAGGATTGTTTATGTATGCTTAAAGTTCTTTGTTACTTTTTAAGGAATGTTGAGCTGGTAAAACTTGTTCTGGAACATTGATATGTAATGTGCTAAATTGTATTAACTGCTCTAAATTTGAAGGGAATTTTCAGGCAGATTTATATATATATTAGTCATTTTATGCCAATATGTCCACATCTTGATGGGTTTCTTTATCCTTGTAGTTGATTCTTGTCTTCAATAACCATCAGCTTTTCTTTTTATTTTCTGTTTGCCTTGCAAATTTCAGCATGACATTGGATCTGAAAAAGTTAAACTTTAGTATCTGTATGTTGAGGTTTCTGTGAATCAAGAAGGCTTAAATATTTATGCATTTGTTATGGTCAATGTGTACCAGCCTGAGGTGGGATAGAATACAATCGTTCAGATATGCCATGATATTCCAATTATTTGGCTTATTGAACCAGTCTGGTTCTCTACTAGGTCCCACCAAAGAATTCAAGTCTTCGTTTACAATATAGTTTCTCCCTGGTCACTCTCAATGACAGTCTTCAGGAGCATGGTAATGAGACTTTGTTCCGAGAAAAAGGTTTAATTGCTGTCTTTTGGCATTTGAGAAACTTACGCAGAACAAGTTTCAAAATAGAAGGTTGACAATCCTACCACTTAAGCCAATGGAACTACAACTGCATTGTGACCTGTTGAGAGGGGAACATATATTTCTACTTTTTTGGTGTACATAACTTTCTTATACTATGTGAAGAATGAAAAGTGTACATTGAAATATTCACATCCAAAGATAATTATCTGCTTATTGTAATATACTTCGTTACTAGAATTTTGCTGTTGGACTATGGTTGTAGGTACTAAATACAGTGGAGGAAATCCAAGAAAGGCATGATGCTGTGATGGAGATTGAGAAAAAGCTTCTTGATTTGCAACAGGTAAATCTGCACTGAGGCCTTAGCATGGAAGATAGATTAACCAAGCTAACTTTTCTAATGCGACTGTTATTTGTCAGATTTACCTTGACATGGCAGTTCTTGTCGAAGCGCAAGGAGAAATTTTGGATAACATTGAAAGCCAGGTTTGTTCCTGTTCTCACATCTCTTAGAGTGGGTATTTTTGTTGGCATATTAGGTCGATGGATGTGTTTTGCTTGGTGTCATGTGTTTGATGGAATCTTGTTCAGGTCTCAACTGCAGTCACTAACGTCCAGTCAGGGACAATTGCACTTCAAAATGCAAAGAAACGACAGAAGAGTACACGAAAGTGGACGTGCATTGCCATTATAATTCTACTAATCATAGTTGCTGTTATAGTTGTCGGAGTCCTAAAACCTTGGAAGAGTAGTTAGGCTGCTTGAGTTGGTTCCTTTTTGTTGCTTGATCATGTAGTTATTTCGGAAGTACTAGTTTTTCTTTGTGTCAAGGAGTGCATGTTCCACTTTGCATGATCCCTTTCATCTCTTGTTTTTGAGTACTAGCTTCCTTCATCTCTTATAAAGTTTGGTTTGTTAATACTGAGGTGAATTGAAGCACACGACTAAACCTGTCCCTGTTTGTGGAAATTCTCCTTTAGATTTTTGCCATCATCTGGCCATACTTCTTTCTGATAATGGGAAATTTTCAGTAGCTTCATCTAATGCTTATTGTTCTTTTAATCACATTTTCGATTTTTACAATATTAAGGAAAGACTGATAAGTCTCTAGGCTTTAGCCTTTCTTCTGGACAGACTTAGTTCAATAGAATTCTGCATACACTTTAATGAAGTAAAAGAGAGAGAGAGACGCTTGTCCAGGATATTACCATTTCTTTTGCTATATTCTCATTTTAGGTTCTAACGGCTATGCGGTGCCAGCAGAAAAGCTTTTTAAGGTCTCACCCACTCTGGATTTATTACTATTATTACCATTATTTTTTCTTTATTCTACTAAGGGTGTAGTTGCTATGATAATTATTCCAATTAAGTGTTTCATTTTCTTTTTGATTCACGAGAAAGTATTATAACTCGAACTTAAAATCTCTACCCGAATTCTGCCTTATCTTTTTAGTTGAGCTCGGGTCTTAAAAAAATTCTTCAATTCACGTCGAACTGCAATTGGAAACTCAAATTCCCTGTAATTGAGTAAGATTTATCATGCTAACTCATCCTGTAGGTTTTACAGTTTGTCCTGTATAACTGTTGGGCATGTCTTGAACTTATTTTGAAGTCATTGCTTGTCAATGAATAGCAACATGTTATCGGGTGGCTATGTCAAGAATTTAAGTAGACATTAGACCTCCAATCCAATAGGCACAGGACAGCTCAAAACAAAGAGGCATTTGACTTTGCCTAGGGCTCATTTTTCTTGTTTTTACAATAGAATTAACACATTCATTCATTCGTGAGACCTTAACTAGTTCTCTCTGTGCTTTGACCATATGTCAAAGGAGTACTCTATAGGCCTTGATACAAGGTTCTTAGTTTTGTTGCTTTTGGGCTAAGACAAGGCCTGGTTGAGTTAGCCAATGGCTAGATGGGTCGCTTTTTTGCCTAATCAATCACATGGTTGTGGACCATTGGCATATCTAACAATTACATATTGTCATCGACTCCCTTGAAAGAGTTTATGGAATCTGATTATTGGTTGATCATTTGGTTATAGGTTACGAATGCAGTGGACCATGTGCAATCGGGTACAGATGCCCTCAGAACTGCAAAGAGCTTGCAGAAGAAGTCGAGAAAATGCATGATGATCGCCATAATCTTGCTCCTCATTATTGCAATCATCGTCGTGCTCTCGATTTTGAAGCCTTGGAAGAAATGAACAGAGGAAACTAGATTCCATCACTTCATCCCCCTTCTCTATCCTTGCATTTATAACAGGTTCTGATGAATTTTTTACTTCCCTCTTTTCATTTACCTTACCTTTTGCATTCTGAGTTTTCGACACGCATAGAAATAATGTAAAATTACACAGTTGTGAGTGCTTTACCTCCAATATATTGTGTGATCAACAGCTGAGATACATAATGTGATGGCCCTCCTGCTCCTCCCTTAATCCTTGTTAAAACCAACCCAATGTTGTCCTAACTATGTAGATGGCACCTTTCAGTGTTATCCTTACTGCCATCATTATCTTGTTTTTTTCTAACATTAAAGAAAGGACAACACCTTCAATTATTGATTTCAGGGAACAATAGCAATTCTATGTTGGGATAACAATCATCTGCATTCTCTCAAGGTCAGTACTGAAATGTCTTCAGATAATTACTAGCAAGAGAAACTGAAGGAAATGATGAGATCATAAATAATTAAATGCTGGAAAAGTAAAAGAAATGACATAATAGTTTACTCCTATGAATTTCAATGGATAACAACCATTTTTTTCTATTGACTATATGCAAGGTTCTTCTGTTTCAATGATTAAACGCACAGTGCTTCACAGGTTGGATATTGTATCATATGATTAAATGAAAGAATTTCATTTGCATCATCACTACATATAACCTAACACTAATTTGTCAAAGACTATGTTTTAAGAGAACCTAGCCTTTTTGGCATAATGAAAGCTATTTGCATTTGATATCAAGTATCTTGGTCATTTCCCACGTCAAATGGATGCATCCTACTTAGTGAATTGAGAAAGACCTATCTATAGAAAACAGTTGTGGTATCTGAAAGATAGGTAGCAGTTCGAATAAGTAATTGGATGTGTTTCAATCTGCAGGGTTTTAAGGTTAACATAACACATTAATTAATTTCATCCATATATCAATTACGTTACAGGATTTAGTCCTAAGCATTAGAATCAAGTAATAAAAAAGAATGACATAGATGCATACACTGCTGCATTATATGCAAACACTTTTATGTATAATAATTCAAAATGCTTGAATTTATATACAGGGTACAAAGAATTTAGGACTTCACAAAATCACATCCCTGAAGATACCCTAATTACTATGCTAATTATTGATGTGAACATGGACATCAATGATTGAACATGTTTTACCAGGAGCACTTGTTTTTCTCCACAGAACGATTTGAAGGCAGCCTACTTGTTCTCTTAATACCTTTTCCGTTTGTTATATGTTGATCGTCAGATCTATTTCTTCCATAAACATCAATTTCATTATCCATTCCTGCCATCCTAGAGGTGTATCATCTATGTATAACCTACAGTTTCAAAGGGATGCCGCAGGAAACCATCAGTGGAAAACAAACTTGAGCTATTCCTCAAGAGCTCGAGGTACTATTCCAAAAGTGCCGAGTTTTTCCTCCTTTAACCGGACAGTGCTTTTTCCGCCAAAGACCACAAACTAGTTTCCAACGCATCATCCCAAAACAATTAACCAACAACCTATGAGCTACACAGATTGTCTAAAATCGTCCTCTGCCGAACTAAGCAGCTTGGTTTGGTATTTCTGGTTTCAACATCTCCAGTTCAACTAAGCAGCTTATTTACACATATATTTCCAGTTTGAGACAATTCATCTCCTTCTATGCTTCATAAATTTCCTAAATTTCTTCTCCTACACTATTTGAAACAAAATACCCATCCCAAATTTGGCCTGAAGAACACGTGCCATCATTCCAAAATCGTCATAAAAAGATTTAAACAGAAAAGGGAAAATATGAAGAATATGAAAAGATTTAATTTACAGAGCGCAACAACATCCTGGTTTATATTACTAAACCCTAATCATCTATTTACATACAAATCTGAAACAATTAAGTTCGAATTTTAAAACTACAAGCGACGAGGTTTAATTACGTAAGTGTTTCGAATGATTCAGCAAAAACTGAGATAAAATTAGTCGATAGGATTTCAAAGGGAAATTGGTTGAGCGAAATGGACGATAGCTAGAGGAAAGCAGAGAATTAAACCAAAAACAATAAGGAAGAAACGAACCTTTCCAAATCGAAGCAATTCGAGTCTACATATCCAAAATCCAAGATCGACATTTTAAGTTCGATGTATTTATGTTTTTCATCCAAAAAATCCAAATGAAGCGAGACGACGTCTTGGATGCGTCGTTTTGGGCCTCGTAGGAAGTTTCTGGGCTTTGAGTTGTCTTACGCCAGCCCAACCCAAGTTGTGGGCACTGTGCTCCTTTTCTTTTCTTTCATTTTTTCTTTTTTAAAGTTCCCTACGGCTTTTTGCAAGGCACATAGGCCACTGGAGAATGTAGAATAGTGCTATGATCTTCAGAACAACAGTAATCTAAGCTTAGAAATGAAACAAAAAGTTCAAAAACAAAGCATTTTTCTCTCATTACCATATAAAAGAACCAAGTTTCATCTTTAACAAAGCTGTGAAGAGCTTAAAAAGAAACACAATGTGGCCAAAAAAATTGCCCCAGAATGATCCATTCTCCTATGATGTTATTACCATATTTTATTATTCCTATCCCAATTCCCTAGTTGAAGAATTGGTAATGGCGTAATGCTCCAAATAGACCATCCGTTTGTCCCTTCACGATAACTCATGTTGCTCTCTCTCTCTCTGTCTGTTTCTCTTACATTCTAGCCTTAGCAACCACCAGATTGCCTTCACCTCCAACGCTCGTGGCTCCTGGCCTAGTCCATGTTTCCTTGAATTGCTCCTCTGTCACTCCTGCACACATTTTACACAACATAATGTTAATTATCAAGCTCTTTCTGTTTTCCATTAGTGAGGTAAACCACAAGGAAAAGTGAGGTTTCTTGAGTAATGACTTGCCTTTTCCCATGGCAGCAGTGGATGAGATTCCTCCCTGGACAGTCTTTAGATACCTATCATAAAAGTTTGCACCTGACCATTTTTGGTGAGCAAGTGTGTCCACTCCATTGTTCCTCTCTTCCCTTTGGATCTTCTCAACATATGCTAGCATTCCCTTCCTTGCAAAATCTCTTGCAAATGTATCGGTCACCAGTGCATCAGCATGGAAACCAGCCAGTGTTATGAACTGCCAACAGAAACCCAGCTTGGCTATTCTAGGAATGAAGTCTCTCATCTGATCATCAGTCATCCCTGATGCATCCCAATTGAAAGATGGTGAGAGATTGTAAGCCAACATGATTTCGGGGTGCATTGATTTCACCCCTTCTGCAAACTTGGTGCACTCAACCAAGTCCGGGCTTGAAGTCTCCATCCAGATAAGGTCAGCATGAGGACCAAAGGCCCAACCACGAACAACTGCAGCGGCTACGGACCCCTTAAACCTATAGAACCCTTCTCTGGTTCTAGGCAAATCCCAGTCCCAGAAAATATTTTTGAGCCCCAGTCTCTCTGCAATCTCTCTTGCCCGTTCATTTGAGAGGCACTTATCATAACTGGAATGGTTCATCCATTCATTCAGTCTCCTCCTCTTCTCATCCTCCCTGGTGTTCATGTTCTTAATTGCATCAATAACACATTCAGAGAATGTCTTAAGTTGTGCCATGGCTAGCCAGTTGTCTTCAGTGGCCTGAAGTTCAGGACCATTTTTACCAGCAGCCATTCCTTCTGCCAACATAGTGGCCAGACTTTTTCCCTGAAGATTTGGATTAGTCACACCTAGAATAAACTGATGGTCCCTGGTGTCGACATTGGTTTGGATCAAAGTAGCTGCAACAGCATCAGTCCTGGCCACCAATACGGTCTCCACTCCCATAACATCAAACTGCAACCTTGCAGCAACAAGCCTGTTAATGTGTTCATTAACAGCAACAAGCACTTTACCAGCCATGTGCCCACATTTTTTTGTTACAGAGGACTGATCCTCAATGTGGACACCAGCAGCACCACGCTCCACGAAAAGCTTGCAAAGCTTAACAGTGGCCGTGGTGCCACCAAATCCAGTATCACCATCAGCAATGATTGGCTTTAGGTAATCAACATAAGGGGTTCGAGCCCTCTCCTCCCGGCTCATGCTCATTCGTGCCTCTCTTTGTTTGCGGTCATGGTATTGTTGTGCAAAGAAAAGGTGTTCCACCTTGTTTGGGACAGTGTCATAGGGATAGTCAGCGAGGTCTGGACCTGGCTCATTGGTGGTGGTGTGAGTTGAGGAGCATTGCCAACCAGAGACATAAATGGTGTCCAAATGCTTGGCCATCATGGTTACTTGGACAGGGTCAAGTGCACCAAAGGTCCTTGAGGCAGTGCCGTTTGCTTGGTGTGTCTTGAGAGTTCTCCATAACTTCTTGGCCATCTCGTTTGAGCCATAGCTCTGTCTGAGGTTGCCTCGTAAAGCCACAACATCTCTAGCTGAGTATGGTCGCCGGGTCAGCTTGAACCTCTCTGAGTTCCACCATGCTTGCACCTCTGCTATCTCAGCTTCAAACCTCCCTTCTTCTTCCATTATCTGTCCAAGGATTTTTCACCCATTATATACCTTGTTTACTACTAAAACGATAAATACAAGTTCAAACCTCTTACTGTTTGAGACGATGCAACTTGCATCAGAGTTTGTCGAGTTTTAACCACTTCAGAAAGATTGTTTTACAGCATTAGTTATATGCTGAAGAAAACTTGAAGTACTTTACTCGAACATAAAGACATGAATATGCATTCTCTCTTGTCAGAATATAATTCCATGATTATGTAAAATAAAGAGGAATTGGAGAGGTGTGAAAGAAATTAAAGAGAAAAAAAAAACATAAGAATCCTGAAGAAAAGACCCAAACAAAACACTTTTTGTTAGGCTCCTTCTTGGTTGTATAGATCATCCTAACCACTGCAACTATACTCTAATGGTTTCTGCCTTGTATTGCCATATGCCACACTACAAGGGAGATTTACCTGCACATTTTACAATTGATTCTTGATGTCAAGCATCTAAGAAGGAGAAGAGAAAAAACTTGTGTTGGTTTTCCACTTTGCTTTTCGGAGAAAGCTGAAGACCTGTTAGTTGGCTTTTCAAACTGCTATCAAATAGTACAAAATTCAATGAATGGAAACCAACTTCCAAGATAAAGTAGTTTCTTAAAATCATGGGACAAATATTTGTTGCATAAACTTTTGAAACCAAAATTTTAAACATTGAGCAATTCTACCTCTCCCCCTACCGCGGGAAAAAATGTAAAAGAACAAAAGCAGCATTGTCATATGCATTAAGGAAACTGGGGCACCTTACTACCTTAGTGCTTCAAAATGGTTAATGTTAATGTATGTCAATTGACAGTATAACCCCCCTTGGACCCTTTGGGAGGTCTGCAGTCCCTTAAAAAAGTTGAAATAGCCATATAGGGGCATCATGCAAAGCCGAAACTTAACCTCTTACAGGCAACAAAAAAAGAAAAATGGTGCAAATCTCATTTGCAATAATAAGCTCAGCATTTCTAGGAAGAGAAACAGGGGAGATGAATCCAACAAAAGATAATTTCCTGGTAAGAGAAGAAGAAAAGAAAGGAGACTAAGGCTGCTGGGAAATGAAGCTTACCATTGAAGGCACTGAGAAAGTTGCAGCCATGGATAGAACTTTGGTCTTTTTTTGTATAGAAACTTTGTATAAACAACTAAGAGAAGTTCATGTCATCCCCCTCCCACAAGTCTCTCAATTTATAAGGCAAAAATGGGCATCAGTTATCACCTCCCTATGAAAAATGGTAAAACTGATGCACTTGAAGATAAAGAGAGAAAACAACAAAAACCGGCAAATATACACAGTGGTTCTCTTATTAATATTTATCTGAATAACTTTTCCAATAAATATATTGTTTGCATTGTTATCTTTAGAAAGTGAGTGAAAAGTGTCCCATGAAAAGCTGCATTCACTGGCACGTAAGATAATGCCAATGTCTTGTTTCATTTTCCCTTCTGTCACTACTTTTTTTCCTATTCATGTATTTAACTGATTTCTGTTTCTCTGTTCCCTTTCCTTTTACTTATCTCTCTGTTTTACTTTTCGTTTTTATGGTACTCAACTTTAGTCAAAAAACAAAGGGAAAACAACCCATTTTGATTTGTCCCATTTGATCATCCGAATTATCAGGGTTTCCTCTACTTAACCGGAAGTTAAGATTCTTTTGGAAGTTTATGCACTACCATCTCTCTTACTTTGGCAGCATGTATGATTGCATCGCTTGTCAGTCATGGCTGTATTAAGGCTATATAATTTCATAATCTTAGTGACAAAGCTCTGGGAAAAATATTGCTACGGGAAGGACTGTTGCAGATGAAGATATCAGGCACCACAAGAGTATGGCCCCCATTTTTGCAAATTGCAAGTTTTCAAACTTCAAACTGTCATCAGTGAACTCCACTGTAATCCTTTTCCTTTTAAATATGCAAATTTATTTCTGCAACATTATCAGTTCATCTGTATATCTGAGCTTTCATGCTGCTGAAGAATAAACTTCCCTAAAAATTGCAATGACTTATTTTCTTGGCAGTGAGTGATCTGTTAAACAGATCATGTAAGCAGTAGGATACTGGTTTATGGCAGAAAGTCAAGTGAATTTACAGATACATTGGTTATACTTAATTAGATTCTAATTTTCTTCTTGGAATGCATGGAAGTACATTGAGTTTTCGACTAAATTTCTCATAAACCATTAGTCATTATCACTAGGATTTAATCATAAGAGCCCCCCAAATTGAAATCTGAAAGGATCGGATCCTAACAATGGGACTACCTACTTAAGAACCTTAATGATACCTTAATAGCTACATGTAAATTTCATCATAACAAATGAATATAGCTAAGTTGACTAAGATTATATGTCATTTTCATTTCGGATGATCTTAGCTTCAAGTAAGTTGGGAACATGTCCTACACTCCATTACGCTGTTCTTTGCAGCTTACTGACGATACAAACGGTTAGAGGAGTTTGGAAATTGGGAGTCCCGACGAAAATCAAGATAGGCCTATCTCCATTCCAATTTTAATATATTTATCATCACATTCTCATACAAGTTGGAACTCTATCCTACCCTTCTTCGTTTGTGCAGTCCTCCGCAGTAGAAATCGATCCCGCAATTCCCGCTGAAGGCCAATACCCCAGTCTCTATCTTCTTCTTCTCTGTCCTAGTTGGATGAAGAATGCAGCTCCTATCTTCTCAAACATTTTCTCTACTTCCAAAAACTGGAGTTAGACCACACAAGGGCTTGGAAAACAGCTCCTTTATTTCTTTACAAAATGATTAACTATTTGCTTGGATTTCAAGCACAAGGAAGGATATTCCATCACTCCACAAGCAACCCACAGCTATCAATCAATTTAACGAATTCTTACTGCTATAATTTACAAAAAAAAAAATCCAAATTTCCATATTAACATGCATGGTAGAATATTTGTCATATACCATAGACTCTTTTCCTTGCAGGAAAGAAAAACCCTGCATGCATACGCATCCGAAATTATGATGGATATCTACGTAAACACGTTGCCTGCATTAAATGTTGAGTGAGGTCAATCTCGATGCTGTTCAAGCAAAACCAACCGGGGAAAAATAGGGTAAGATTTGTAGAAAGATTGACATAGCACGTCATGGACAAAGCAAAGAGGTGCTTAATTATCAAAGATGAGGTATGGCTCTTTGGACGGTAGCTGGGGTTACTGGAAACGTGTCAGAAGTAATAATAATGAATATTATAAGATTTGAGAGTGCGGCAAATCGTAACCAAATACTACACGTTGAACAAAAGGGGAGTTCCTTCAACTTGGGATTCGTGACATTAAGAACGAGTTTTGTCTGGTTTGGGGGTTGAGGTGTGGAACTTAACCAGCTTTAGTGACGCCATGGACTGTGGTCCTAAATGGCTGCTGATTGAGATGGGGTGATGAGGGGTATGGTGTTTAGCAATTCGAGGAAAGCAGAGAAAAACGACCTTCATTCCAGCTTCCCACATAAATTCGGAGATATCAATCCCGTACTGTACAACCAAACCCCTTTCTTTTTATCTAGAGAAGAAAACTTCAAATTCACCTCTTTTTTAGTGGATGATATATGTATGTATAAATATTAGTAAATAAATATTTAATATAATAATTCATTTCTAAATATATAATCTTTAAATCATTTATGTGATTCCATCTATCATCCTTGAGATCAAAATCTATAAAAATTATGTAAGATATTACTATTGGTAGTTATCCAGGACTAAAAGAACAAAAAAGTATTGGTTGGTATGGCCAATGCATCCTCAAATATAATAGCATCAATATCAATTTTGAAAAGAATAAAAAAACTATAAGAAGACTATACTCATAAAAAGCCCAAAAGCTCTTACACTTGGGCTGCTTCATTAGCTCATTTGGTTTTAGGGAACCCGGCACGTTGGGAAGGCTAGTGCAGTCCTGGGCATAAGGCCCAACTTGGGGGAGAACTAAGCAATGTGGAACCTTCGCCCAGTAAATGAACTAGATTTTAAGTTATGATATCACAAATTTTATATTAATAAAAAATTATATGAATTTTAAATTTATAATTAAATATTTTTTTACTTAACATGTATATTTTTTAAATTGAATATACAGATGCGAGATAAGTGATATTAAAATTTATCTAACTCTTCACTCTTATATTATAAAAAATAAGAAAATTAAAATAAAATTCAATTAAAGTGAGAGTCAATGTATATTAAATGAGATAAATTTTTAAATAAAAATTTTATTTTACTTAATAAATATATCTTTTTAAACTGAAAGCTTGAGCCCCATACATCAACTCCCTGTTGATTTTCTCATAAAAAAGTCCCATTTGTCAGAGAGAATGTGCATAGAAAAACAGTAAATTATGATTACATCTATCAGTATTCAAACATCGAACTACACGTCCGGGCTCGCAGACCCAAATGACTTGAGCATAAATTTTAAGCTCGAGTCTAGCCCTTCTCAGTTATGTTTTAACTTATATTAAAATATTAACATAAAATACATTTTATTATTTAAATAAAATATAACAATTAAATGATCATGTGGGACTGGTCTTAGCTTTAAAAACGTGAGTCCTAATAAGCTCGACTCAATCCATGGACACTTCTAACTAGATATCGGTTAAGCATGTACTTAATTCATATAATTATATATTTTCTAATAAAATATATATTTCTGTTCTGGCATCTTATTTTAACATAGAAAAGGGTACAATTTGGACTGTACCACTTTTCCATATTAAAGATTTGCATTAATCTATGTAGTCCATATGAGATCAGTTAAAATGTCCAACGCAATCTTTTGGTCACGGTAACTGGTGAGTGCTTCAGAACTGAAAATAGTGGCATAAAATACTCCAATGACACAGATTTTTTACTCCCATGGTTTTTAAAATACATCTTTACATAGTTAAATTCACATTCGCCCAAGAATTCATAACACACAAATTGTCCAGAAAATTGAAAATCCAAACCCCGAATTACCATATTATAGCATAGCAACCATGAGCCATTGTACAAAAAGGCATGCATTTGCTTAATTGCCAAACTTGGTTAAGAAGGAAAACCACATCATATATATGTATTGCAGTTTTCTCTCCTGATCAAGCAACACAGAGAAGCAGCCAATTGCCCTAGGAACCTAAACACTTTGGTACAACCTCGCCACAAAATTTTTTCATGCTCTGAACAGAAGAAACCCAAATTCACTTTGGGTTTGGGTCATTCATTCGCTTGCAGAGTATCTTGAAGTCCAATACTTCTCAATCTCCTCAGCTGTTCTTCCAGGAATTCTCCCAGCTATCAAAGACCACCTACAAAGCATTTGAACCATTAGAAAGGTAATCCTAGTACAGAGAAGATCCTGTTAAAAGCAAGCAAACCCACCTCTCTCCAACCAAATTGAACATTCTAGTAATAAGGGTTTCCTCATCTTCTGAGAACTGGAGCTTGGAATCTTGGGTGGATTCCTCTGCGGTCACACCCCAACAAACAGCTAAAAACCATTAATCCTTTAATCATATAGGCCATAAAATTGCAGCCAAAAACTCAATTCACATCCAAAAATATTTAAGAAAAAGAAAAAAGGGAACCCCATTCTTAATCAGCCACCAGATAAATCAAAGGTACCATGGATTATTGACTTCAAAAGAATACCTCCAAAGAATCCAGAAAGTAATCATGGGAAAGTCATCAAAGTCATAATTGCAGTTGAATATGTAAGAAAAACACAATCCAAAAATGGGTACCTCTAGAATCCACGGAAATATCATCAGAGGAACGATCCGAGTCAGCCATGAAGGATTTTGAGACAAACAAAGAAAAGTACAAAACTGGTTTATTATGTTTATTGAGACTAGGGATACGTAAGAAGCCTGTAGGAAGCTATGTCTGGAATTTAAAGGCACTTAATAAGCACTAGTATTAATAGGGGGCAGACTGGAAGGGGGAGTCCCTTGCGACGACTCAAGCGAGTCATCTTTGAGACCTGGTTTTGGATAAGAGAGAAGAATGGTAGTTGACACTGGGGGCGTTGAAGGTCCAACTTTGATAGGTAGTTGAATTCACTTAACCGTTGGTTGGTATAGATTTTTTGCGGATTGGCAAAATCTTTTTGGGGTGTTCTTGCTCAGATTTCAATGTTTATCCTTTATGACATGTCACATGGCAGAAAAGTATGTACAAAATACCAATTGAATACTCAACGCTTGATTCATCCTTAATCTAATCATAGTAAAATTAAAATTTACAAAGTATAAGAGTTAATTTTTGCTTATTTGAGTACTCTACGTGTAATTTGTTAACTCACTATTATTTTATCCAATAAAATTTACCACATAATGAAATACATAAAATCAGGCTCCCAATTGAGGCCAAATCAGGTGGGATTAGAGCTGGCCCCCTGCTTTGTTGACCCAGAATGAATTGGTGTGAGATAGATTTACTCAAAATCATTTTCCACCATTGAAAATGTTAGGTTTGTGTAAATTATTATGAGATTAACCTTAGGTCATGTAACAGCAGTAATTAGGAAAATGCCAAATGCGAAAACAGACATCCAAATAAGACACCATTTAATCAATGGAAATTAATTAAAATAATTGCCAAGCCTACCCTCTGATTCTCACTGGCAAAATACATTTTATAATCTCTACTGATGACCCCAGTGTTTTTTCAGATTTATCAATTTGTGGCTAAACACAAGAATCAAATGCAAGCAACAGACAGCAAAATCATCAAGACCCTTCACAGAAATGAAAGTACATGCTTTTTTGGACCCATCCTCTCAATCATGAAAGTTAAGCAGCCTTGTCAACACAGCACTCTCTTTTCAATAGTATTAACTCAATAATTCAATTTAGCTCTAGCTTGCAATGTGAGTCTTGAATCCCCTCATATGTTATAGCTTCAAACATTCACTTCCACATGTGTTAAGTGTCCTGATAAATGATTTGACATCTTTTCCAAAAACAAGACAAAAAGTGTATATATATATATATATAAAACAATGACCGGATCATATTAATGGAAAGATCATTATCAATAATAATCCCCAATTAATGGCAAAGAAAGATCATTATCACTTAATTTAACGTTCGTTTAGCTTTGGTATAATATTTGGAAAGTTTCTCAAATTAGTTAAAAAAATTTAAATAAATTTTTATTTTTTTATTACGTTTAATTAAGTCATTATATTTTTATTTTAAATCAAATAAGTTATTAGAATTAACAATTGACTAATTGATATCAATCAAAATATAACTTATCTTTCATATATTGATGTGGTATTAACATGATATTGACGTAAGAAGAAAAAAATATCATATGACTATATCATTATTTTAAATTAATATAACAAGTCATCATCTTTTATGATATATCGACATATTACGTTAATGTCACATGACATTGAATGTCAAATAACGTTTTAACTAACAACCATTAATCAATTATTAGTCATAAAATTTATTTAATTTAAACTAAAAATATAAAAATTTAATTAATTGTAATAAAAAATAAAAAATTGATAAAATTTAATTAAATATTTTTAGGCATTTACCCAGCCCATCGACCGAGCATTGCTCGTGGGCTTTGTCATGGTCCAAGACTTTCATTGCAAAGGCCGAATTGGATGTCAAAGCTTGGACCTCTCCCTCCACCACTTTCTATCCATAACAAATACAAAAAAAAAAAAGGGGGAAATTCCGGTTCGTGTCAAACTAGGATTCAAAACTATCAAAACCAATTCCGAATACTTAAAACCAAGCCAATTCATGCCAGAATCCATCCAGAACACATTTCTATGTGAGTCGAAACTATCAGCAAGTAATCCACATCTAGCCTTCAACTTTGATCATAATCCTACAAAATTAAGAACATTTTTCCAGTTTAATTCTCCATAAATACTCTACTTTGCCAAACTAATTCGAATTACCCCCGTAATTTGCATCAATTCTAGCCTGCAATACTCCTATTTGGTACACAAAATTTTCCAGAAATCATCGGCAAGTTATCTCAAAAGATGGGTGCCGGTAAAACTTCACGAAGAGGTCTCAAGATATGCTGCTGCGTTACAGCAATTTTCATAGTTATCGTTGCTATCGTTCTCATTACCTTGGCATTTACGGTTTTCAAGCCAAAGAACCCAGAAATCACAGTTTACCCTCAAGGCCTCGAGAACATTGCTTTCGATTTACAAGGCTTAGCGATGCTCTCGAACGCAACGGCGAATGTCACAGTAGGGATGATAATCGCGATTAACAATCGTAATTACGGAAGCTTCAAGTTCAAGAACACGACAGCGTTCGTGACCTATCGTGGGGGCGTCGTCGCCGAAGTTCCAATCATACAATCGCACGTTCCGGCGCACGGCAAGCTTAACATCACCACTGATGCCGATTTCATGGTGGACAGATTGATTTCAAACCCTTCGTTTTGGGCTGATGTAATGGCTGGTTCAGTGAACTTTACATCAGAAGCGACAGTGCGTGGTAAAATGACCATGCTCAAGATTTTGAAGGTGCATGCATCGGTTCCTAGCAGTTGTTACATCTCCATTTTTGTCCAATCTCAAAGTATCGAGTCCATATGCATGACCAAACTCAAGCTGTAATTGCCTAATATGTTTCTATACTGTAATCATGTTTACTATGATTTTGCTGTTATCCATTCAATTAGTTTAGAATTGTTACTATATACTTAATTTCCAACTTAATCTCATTTACTTTCTTTCTATAGATACCCTGGGATGTTTTTATTGTATATATATATTGTTTTCACTTTCCTTTTTATACTTTTTTTGTGGTTTCAAAGTAGGGGAAAGAAATAATTACTGAAAGAACAAAAAAAAAAAAACTCTATAGATTGTTTTTATGCCCAAGGCGGTGTTTGAATGCCAATGAGAGTCTCTCCACAATACTTGAGACTCACAATGGCATTCCGGTTAAAAGGCTAATAAAATCGCCTCTTTTTTTTTTGTAAGTGAGAATCATTATAGTTTAAATGTATATAATTCTTTTTTTGGCATATATATATATATATGATTTTTCACCATTAATGTGAAATCATTAGTGATTTTAGATTGTAATTTTATCACACCTCATTTGGTATAAAATGATAGGTTTCAACTTCTAAACTTGAATCTTTGGTATAGTGATTGATGCATAATTCTGTGCTTACAAATATGGTTAGATCCTTTTTTCTTGAAAAATAAAAATAGAAAAGAAGATAATCTATCTATCTTTAAATGACAAAGTTAACCATAATTTGATGATAAATCGTACATGTATATAAATATCTACAGCATATATAAAAGCATGGATGTTGAAAAACTTTACCATCGAGGGATAATAGATATTATTACTCATTATATTTCTAAATTATCATTTACCATTTTAAATAATTTTTAATTATTATAAATAATATTATATTAGTGTAAGACAAGAATCGAAATCCAAAATTGGAAGAAAGTACGAATGCTAAATGGGATATAATCTAATCTTATTTCTAAATTATCATTTTAAAATTTTTAATTTTAAATATTAATAAAATTTATCTAATTTGTAAATAAGACTTTTAATTGCATTGAATTATTTACCCTTTTTAAAAAATATTAATTATAATAATATTGAATAATTTATAACTTAATATTACAAAATTTAAATTATTTATACTTCAAATTTTATACTTTAAAAATATTTCTATTTACATATAATTATCATTTAAAAAATAAATAAAAAACAAGTATTCACTTGACAATAAATACTAATAAGTAATTAAATACACAAGTGTAGAACCTTTGAACAACAAAGGATGACTTTATAAAAAAGAGTTTTAATCTACATTAAATTGCTTTCATTAGAGATTCACATTGAAGTTAAAATTGGTGAGTGTACATTTAAGTTTGAATTGATATTATAGATACCTGATGTCTAGGCTTTCTTTTAAATATCATTAACCCTATTAGTTTTCAATTTATTACATTTTTTAATGGAAATTTTTTTCTATTATTTCATACATTTTGAATTCTTTTATTTTGAATTTTCAAATTGGGCTTGGAGTTCAAGTGTCCAATTGGGCTTAGGACTTAAAAGTGATTGATTGCAATGAGGGCCTAAATTGTCAAATTGGGCTTAGGGTAAAATATGTTAATTGCTTTTGATCTTGATGGGCTAATAAAATCTTAGGCTAGTCGGCTAGATGATTCATATTGCATTAAAATACAAAAATATTAAAATATTAAAAACCATCATATTTAAAACAGTTTTTAAATTATTTAAATTTTTTTTTAATAAACATTTATATTTTTATTACGTTCAACTAAAATCTTGTTCTTTAATTTATAATATAACAATATTATATGATTCAATTATTTATATAATAAAAATGATTATGTCTAATAATTAAAATGAAAGGGTGATAGAATGTTGTGTATGTATATATGTGTCAGCCCTACTACGTCACTTATAAAGATAAGTGACTTTTAATTAATAATAATTAATTAATTATTAATCATAAAAATTTATTTAATTTTAAAATAAAAAATAAAAATTTAATTAAATATAATAAAAAATAAAAATTTATTTATTTAACTTTATATTTTATTCTTTATTTAATTCCTTTTTAATCAATAACACATGTTTAATCCAAGCTTTAAAGTGAGTTAAGACCTTTTCCTAAATTCATTTTCTCCTCCTCTCTCTGAGAACTTTAAAGGGTTTAATATATTTTTAGAACTTATTAATTCTCCCTTCAAACATACACGTAGTAGGTGACAAAAGGCCATAACATACAAACAATTTGGGCTTTAATTATTATTATTATATGATTTTAAGAGTCTTACCAAATGATTGAATGTCGACCATATCTTCCGGTTCCTTGTGCTCCCCTCTCATCTCTTCCTAATTCTCCTTTATATTATATCAGGCGACGGGATTCTCTTCCAAGATTTTATTCTCTCTTATTTTAAGCCAATTTTTTTTAATTTCTTTAAATATATAAAAGTCGTTGGTGGCCGGCAAATAAACAGAAAAACCGATCCTTATACAATGTTCTTAAGCAAGAGAAACTAGATTCCCGGGGTTAAATTTTTCTAAAGTCTTATATTTTCGCATAATTTTTTATTAGAGTATTATTTTATACATTGTCTTTATATGTTTTTAAACTTCACAAAAGGTAAATAGAATAATGTCAGGTATACTTTTAGTTATCATATCAATTTATTAATCTTTTGAAATATATTTTTTTAAATGAAATTTATTGATTAATCAAACGTGTAATACAAACTCTTATCATGTCATTCAAAGAGTAGAAAAAATACATTTTTTGGTGGGAGTCTTTGAAATATATTTTAATAGAATATGTGATAATCTTTATAAATCCTTCAATGGAGTTTAAAACTCTATCAATAATGTATTTGGATAATTTTTCTTTCTTATTAGGTAACCTATAAGAAAGTAATAGTGTTGAACTTTTACCTCTAGTTTATTCTCAAAGATAATTATCTAAAAAATGGTTATAATGTTATTTATATATAGGAGGAAGATTTACATAAAAGGTAAATTTGATCCAATAAATCTTATCCTTTATATATATATATATATATATATATATTTGAATCTCCTTTCTATCATGAATTAGGACTCCAAATGTTCCACATTGTTAGAATTTGAGTTATTCAAATACCGATTATTACGTATCTGAACATTTATTTTAATAATTTCATATAAAGTAAGATTAAAATTTTTTTCTCTCAAATAATAAAGATAATGTTCATTCTGCCTAATCTAAATCATCCCCAAAGCTAAAACCATGCATGTTAAGCATAACAATGTTGCTAATAGATATAGATTAAACAAAAAGCTTTTTACAGGTCAATTCAATTACAGAGTAACAGTCAATTTAAGTAATGCTTAAAGTCCAAATGCTGATCAAGTAGAGAATCTAATATCTAACGTCTTAAAATCAACATATTTTTCCCCCCATCAAACTATCAATCATTAGCAGCCCCCTCTTTGCTTCAAATCCAATTATAGTCACGAGACAATTGAAAAAAAATATTGACTCACCCCCCCCAATTTTTCTTTCATTGTCGTCACGAGACTTAGAAACTTAGGGGAAAGTCAATACGGTAGACGTCAAGGAATAAACTCTGATATGATGGGATGAACTAAGCTTTTTTTTTTTTTAAGATAATTAACAGGCTGCACATGGTCATCAATTAGTTTGATCAATTACTTTTCTTTTGTCGGCCATGATTTTTCTAGATAAAAACAATATTCACGACCCTTCTAAGGCCGGTAATCACGCGAGCAAGTCATCAAGGATTTTGGAATTTCTCTCTTAAGGTTTTCTTTTCTTTTTCCATGGCTATTCCTAGGCGTGGTAGCTTGTTGGTTCAACGATATTCTGGTGCAAATAATTATGGGTACCATTTAAATCCAAAGCATTGCTACATGCCAGCCTGTGTTGAAGTCATTTCTCTACTTTGGGTAAATAGTCATCATGATTAAATTAGACAATCAAATTGTTCTCTATATCCTTGAAATTGTGAGTATTATTTCAAGCATGTCATAATTCTACTCCTTTACATATATAAGTTCGGATTATGAATTGGGAATCTCATGCATCTAGATTGTTAGAAGTATATATGATTAAAAATTATTAACATGAAAAGTAACGAAAGAGAACCGCGGTCTGTGCTTACCACGATTTCTGATTCTATGGACTTATTCTTAACAATAATTTCTAATTGACTCTATTCTTTATTTGTTAGATTCTTGAGCATTAAGAATCTATTTAATTTGTAAAATGTTTGAAGGAAAGCATATTTGAATTATAAGACCAAAAAATAAATTAAAAGAGAATTTAACAATATGATTTTTTGAACTCAAATTTGAGTGATGAGCGATGAAATTTATATCCTATTGCATAACTCTAAATTAAATGTACCTTCCTATTATCAAAAACATAAAAAATAAATCACTTATAATTTCTGAACAAACTTCTAGAGTTGCCCAATGTCCATGGATCGAGCTCTTTTCCAAAGCTTGCAAGCTCGAATAGATTTAGGTAGCATTGGGCAATAATTTCAAAGATCAATCCCCACTTATCTAGGTTTATTTAATAAATAATAGTGTCTTATGTATAAATTACTAATATAAAAATAATTAAAATTTGCAGTCATAGGTGAGCATGGGCACACTGTTCATGCCCAACTTTCATCCATGCACCTCGGAGGTAAAGACCAATCTATAGATCAAACATCTCTAATTTTCTTCTAAGATGATAAATAGAGCAAGTCTACCAGCCCTCTTTCCTGTTTGTTGGCTTTGGATGAGAATCATCAAATGCCACAAAGTTCAAGTTTCGAGGGCCGGCAAGAGAGGAGAGGAGAGAATGAATTTTAGAAGTTCATAACTCCCATGAGATACAAAGAAGGTATAATGGTCTATCCAAGAAAATTAAATAAATTTTTATTTTTTATTATGTTCAATCAAATTTTTATATTTTTATTTTGAGTTTAATAAATTATTATAATTAATGATTGATTAATTATCATTAATCAAAATATCTTTTTATTATTTTATATCCACATGGCACTGACACAATATTAATATAAAATATGAAAAATACGATAGGATTATATTATTATACCATATTCATGTAATTGTTCATTATAATTTATCAACATTTCAGGTAAATACCAGGTCAACATTATATGATATAGAATGATAAGTAACG